GTTTAAGTGCGAAAAAAAATCACACTTCGAACAACACAGCAGTGGCGATGCACATAAAAAGAACGGGAATAAATCCAGTAAACAGACTTTATTAAACATTAGTTCCGACAATGATTTTACGAAATTTTGCACCGATTTATGTTTATTTACCGCAGCAGATATTCCATTGAATAAAGTTAGTTGTTCTAGTTTAAAAATTTTATGCATAAATATATAGGAAGGCATTTACCCTCAGAAAGTACTCCGAGTAAGAAATATTTACCGAAATATTACGATATGGTGAGCACTAGGATTTTTATTTAAAAACTGTTTAACATAAATTTTATAATTTACAGGTAATTAAACAAATTAGAAATTCTATTGGCGATAATAATATTTGGATTAGCGTCGATGAGACAACGGACAGATTAGAAAGGTACATAGCCCATTTTTAGTAATTGGAAAGTTATCTTCTGAAGAAGCTGGCGGTCCATTTCTACTAGCTTTGAAGCAGCATGATAAAACTAATAGCGACACAATCTCGAGATTTATAAACAATCATTGGGTGTGCTATTGTTAATTTTAGGCATTGAAATTATTATAATTTATTTAATTATTAATTTATAGCTTTATTGTGGCCAAAGGAACTGAACACAAAAAAGTTAAATGGTTTGTATCAGATGGTGCTTCATACATGATTAAAACTGGTACTAATTTGAAAGTGTTTTATGAAAATATAATTGTTTTGTGCAGAACACTTTGATGTTTAAAACTAGTCGGTAAATAAAATGGTTTTTTACTATCATTCTTATATTGAATATTTTTAACGACCTAAAATCCGAAGCCTAAACATAAGGTATGAAGCACTTAGGCAAACAGTTATACAGATGCGTGTGGTATTTGTCGTCGAGCATTTATTAAAGCACATATAATAAAGTCACAGCATAGATAACAATCAGTAGGGACGGCTCGCCGTTTTTCGTGACCCGTTTTCGTGGGTGGTCGTTCGCTTTATGACCGAATGAGGGCGCCCAACTGACGTCTAAAATATTTGAAATTTGGCAGTTTTGTTACAATATTTTTGCCGGTTTTGCTTGTTTAAGACTGCTTTTCCAGTAGAATTGTACAAATAGTATAAAAATGTAATTTTCACAATAAAAGGTAAAATCTTCGTCCGATGAATTTTCATACAGGATCCCTGTTGTGCGCCTGCCTTATTCTCTCCCTCGTGTTTGAAATTCTTGGAAAAGATAGTAAACATAACACACTTTTTGTTTAAAAAGTCGTCGCAAACGAACAACAACGGTGGTTATGAAATAAATATAAAAAATTTATTATATATGATTCCGTTGTTGTGGTAAAATTTAATATAAAAGTAATAAGAAACAAACTACACGTAACAAAAAATTATATAAGCAGACCTTCACTCAATAAACAATTTTTTTATTCATCATGTATATATATATATTTTTTTGACCTACACAATCTTGAGTTTTATTTTGAGACGTTGCTTAACCCATAAGCAGTCGCGCGTGGGTAAAAATGACCCAAGCCGTACATTTTGTCAAATATCTTTTTTCGCTTAATCCCTATGGACTTCCGGTTTCATGAATTCCTTAATTATTCTTACCTGCGTCGACCCATACCAATTGCCTGCACTTTATGCGAGTCGACAAATATGTATTTTTTTTTGTAATATTTTTTTTTTAATAAAAATTTTACTTTATATGATATTACGCTTACGGGTTAAGTTGTTAGGTAAAATGCGTTTTTTTCGTAAAATTTTTGAAATTATTAAACAATTTAACAGGTGCTGTTCTTATTTTTATATTTATTCTTGTATAAAGTAATTACCATAATTACATTATCATGCCTGTCTGTTTATTTCTCTACTTTTTTTTAGCTTTCTACATATATAAATAATATGGATACTTTCTTTAATAACTAAAAGAGTCTATTCTCGAAAAATATTTAGTCCTCATAAAATACTCCTTTACCTACGGTCCATTACAAAGTGTACCATTTCCGGATTAACATTGCCTTTGCCAAGACGCACTAGAAAACTGTTTTGGATGGATTAGGAAACAAAATGGAAATTCTATTAACCCCACATCTAATCAATTTCAAATGGCTTTTAGAAAATTAATCATACAAGATTATTTTGATGAAACTAACACAGGTAATCAAAACTGCGAGCCTGATTTGGAAGAAATTTTAAAGTTAAATGTAGGTCGTCGTTTTGATGAAGAAGAATCAGTCACCACGATGCAGAAGACCACCTTAAAAGATTGTGATTATCACTTTCACACAGCTGAACAAAACGCAATTAGGTATATCTGTGGCTACCTAATTCGGAAATGTTTATTAGTACATAGTTGTAGTGAATGTGAAAAATATGCAAATGAACATAAAAGTTTAGACAACACAAGCATATATTCACATTTCAGAGCCTACCAAACGAAGAATTGCGAGTTATTTGGTAAATTATATATGCCAAACGATAATTTCTTTTTTTACATTTGTGAATTAGAGCAAATTTTTAGTGAAAATTTTGAAAATATAATTTTACAAACAACTACTATGTTGAAATTTTTAAATTTATATAAGCAAGCTACATTTGTTCATCCATGCCAAAACTTTCCATACGATTATTTGCTTGCTTTGTATGCTAGGATGAGATTATTTTATGCACTAAAATTTGTAAATGTTAGCTTTAAATTTACAAATGCCAAAGGTGAAAAAATTAATAGAAAAAAAATAATTTGGCAGCATTAACTTTTTTCCTTTTTGTAATTTAATTTTTATTTTATTTATTTATTTTTTCTTAAATAAACCTCTTTCTTTTTAGATGTATTTATTGCATTATTTTTACAATGATAATTAAACCTCAAGTATTCAGGGAAAGAATGTGCGAATTGTCAAATTGTATAAGTAATAAAATAAAAACTGTAACAAATCATCGTGTTTATAATTTAAATATCGACTTTTTTTTTCTTATTGCGATTCATGATTATACGATTTGAGCAAACTACACAGTTTGCAATATTGCGTACACGAATCAATTTTTGAAATTTTAAATGAAGTGATACTTTTTAAATTGGGTGGCGACATCTAGGAATAGTTTAGGCAACGACCATCCATGACGGCTTAAAATTCGGGTCAGAAAGAACAAAGGCGCCGACACGAGCTGTCCCTACTGATTGTTATCTATGCTGTGATAAAGTACTAGGCGGCACCCTCCCATGACCTACTGCGACCTATATTCATTTATTGAAACCCTATAGTCATTTATAGAAACCCTGTATAACATAAAACATATTTCATTTAGCGTGATAATGAGCCTTTTGTGTAGAGTATATTTAAATGCTCACGTCTTTAAATAAATGATATACAAATACGAGTACTTAACTCTGTACTTTTTGCATTGAATCAAGAATTTTGAAAACTGCATTAGTTTAATTACCATAGAAACAGGCCTTGAACAATATACGAAAATAATGTAAAAACATGATTATTGGCAGTATTATAATTTGATCTGATTTTTGTTAACATGTGGATTAAGTTACGTCAATAGAATAAATAAAAAAAAGTCCAAGGTCGAGGACTTATTCATTCTTAAAACCTGTACACTATTTCAACTGTTTACACAATTTAGTGGAAATGCTAATCGTACTTTTATCACTTGTTTGGGTTTCTACTAAAAGTCTACATAAGTACCGAAATAGTTGCAGAATAAATGCAGAAAACCTGACCCAAAACTGTGAGTTTCTGTGGATCGAGAAGCAATATTTGGGGCCTCTGGAGGCCAACTACTTCAAGGGTTTGAAGAATTTGAAGAATCTGAGGCTGCAGCACTGCCAGATCAAGCAGATTGATCCCAATACGTTGCCCAATTTTCCGGGGTTGGTGAAGATGGAGCTTCCGACGAACCAGGTGGAGAAGATCCAGCCCGGGACGTTCAAGAAGTTGCAGAAGTTGGAGGAGTAGCATTTGTTGGGGAATAGTATTAGGAATTTTACGGAAGGGGAGTTTGATGGGTTGAATAGTTCGAAGCCGTTGGAGTTGATCCGGAATAAGATTAATTCTTTGAATGTGGAGAGGATTTTGGAAAATTTGCCCAAGCTGGAGAGGATCGGGATCAAGTTGACGCTGTTCGAGTGTGATAGGGTGAAGTCCTTGGTGGAGAAGATTCAGGAGAATAAGAGAGATTAAGAACGTGGATCAGGTGTTTTCGGATAAGTGTTAAGACTAGATAGTGTAAGATGTGTGATAGTACTGATTGTCAATAAATGACTAAAAAACAACGAAAATCAATCATCGATTATTTTATTGTTTGATAAAAAACTCAATAACAAATGATCGCTGTCAGATTAGGTCAGTGTACGGTAGTTCAACAAACGCCAGACCAACAATTGATGGAAAAAAAATGTAAATATAGAGAGGTGATAAACTCAAGGTAAAAACTATTTATTGTAAAGGGATCATACCAAAATGGTTTCGGTTCGGAAACTTCCCAAAGTGCAACCTCAGGACTTGACTCAGTGTTTTCGCTTTTATAGGGCTTTTGGCCCTGCATACGATTTCTTCTAGGTAACAAAACAGACCGACTAACTCTATTTTATGAAATAGAAATAAGAATGCGTCTAAAGAAACTAGTTAAGAGTTTAAAGAACAAAAAAACAAGTAGTTCAAGGGACATTAAAACTAAGTTAATAATACACAAAACAAAGAAATAATTTAAAATGATAACACAGCTATTCAAGAAGTATAAAAAATGGACTGTGCTTTTTCCGGCAAAACAAGAATTGCGAAAACTACCTAACCAGTGTAATTAATTAGATACCATAGGTATACGCCTTGAACCCTGTATGAGAATGTAAACACGTGGCCACTAGCACTATTACCATAGACTTGTCAAAAACATGTTTTACAAAAACGTTTTTTGGTTACAGCTTCATTAAAGTACGTCATCAAATAAGAACAAAAAATACAAAGTCGATGGTTAAACAAATATATAAAACAACTCTTTCTTAAACCGGCATTTTATCTAAACTCTTCAGACAGTTTTGTAAAAATGCTGATCGTACTTTTATCACTTGTCCTAGTTGGTGTCTCTAGCAAAAGTTTACGTTAGTACCGAAACCCTTTTTTCCCCATTTCCAAAATATTTTCAATTCACAGCACCAGAAATCCAAAAATGCCGAAAATCTGACCCAAAACTAGGCGACTGTTTGGCTAAAAGTGTGCCTGACGCAGCGGGAAGGCTTAAACAAGGTAACAAGGACCTGGGAATTTTTCCTCTAGAACCTCTGGTTATTGAAAAAATTGAATTTGGAGATTCAAGTGGTGGAGCAGTTGGTGTACGACAGGTGTACGAAAATTTGAAGCTGTTTGGAGCAACGAATTTTACTATATCCGATTCCGAGTGAGTATTGTGTAATACAATAATACAAAGTTGGTAAATCTACTCACTATTTTAGGGCGGATTTCGGTGATGAAAACTGCTATTGGCGGTTCAAAGGCCACACAGACTTTGTCCGAATGGAAGCTGATTATAAAATGACTGGGAAACTGTTACTTTTCCCCATAAACGGCAAAGGGAAATGTAACAATACCGTGTGTAAGATTCAACAAAATTTATAGTCGTAGCTGACTCTGAAAAATCGTGTCATTTTCAGATGAATACGAAGGTGTCTACAACATAAAATGTGAAAAGTACACAAAAAAGGACCAAAAACATATACGTGTGACTGATTTTACGCTCAATCTAAAACCAAAAAGAGTCGTTTTTGGTTTCGAGAATTTGGTTGACGGGAACGAACAGTTGAGTAACGAAGTCCTAAAGACGATCAACGAAAATTCTGAGCAAGTGTACGCAGATGTGGCTCCAGCTTTCAATGAAGCCATAGGGAAGTACGAAAAGGAAGTTTTCAATCGAGTGTTTTCGAGAGTGCCAGAGGATGAGTTGTTTTTGCCATAATTGTTTAGTAATAAAATTCAAATACATTACAGATAATATTGATTGATTTTTACCTTGAATTTTTATTAAAAAAAAAAATCCTGAACTGGTTTTTGAGGGATTACAACAACAGTATTTCAAATTTATTATTGAGAATTAGTTTGTGCTTAGGAAAATGAGTCCACAAGTGCGTTTAAAACGTGTAGTCGTCCTTGAATTTTTATTCCAACCTCAATTATGCCCTACCTAATTTATTGTAACAACTTTGAATTGCATTAGTTATTTATTATACCAACGGTTGTACTAAGCAAATAATAGTATCAGAAGTCTGCTGTTTTTTTTATACTTGATTGTTTACTTATATTGAAATTTATTAACAATTAAAAAGCCATACGTAAAGAACCGTCGTTTTAAGCTACACTTACACTCATTAAGTGTTAATTAAGTACTTACAACCTTGCGTTGCAATAATGAATTTAATTGTTATGCAGTTTCTTTCCCATTTTTCAGTCAAAAAAAACTGCATGAACGATTTATTTCTCGTTAAGATTAACGATCTAGCTAAAGTACAATTGTTATAAAAAAAACTTGCCCATGTTTCTAGTAAATCCTAGCACAATTGACTAGTCTTCAAGTGTCTTCTTGAACGCTATGTTGGTCATAATTTTGCTAATTTTTGTTGCCTCCACCTCTTCCAAACAACTTCGTGAGTACCAAACACCTTCTTACCAAGAGAATAACTTTTGTGGTAGCTCCAGGAATCAAGAAATGTAGAAAATCCGACCCAAACCTAAACCATTGTTTAGATTTGAATGTCATGGATGGTGTCCAACAGTTTCGGGGAGGAAATCGGGAACTAGGAATAGTACCCTTGGAACCTTTGGTCATCCCACTACTCGAATTTGGGGATGATAGCGCTGGATCGATCACTCTGAAACAGCACTACTCCGACTTAAAGATTTATGGAGGATCGAACTTGACAATATTCGATACAAAGTATATTAATTGGAAGAAAAGTTTCCATTTAAGAAAATTCTTCGTTTTAGAATAAACCTTGACGATGAGAACTGCACTTGGTACATGAAAACAACAACCAAGAAACTTATTGCGAAAGCCAATTATAGAATGACCGGTCGAATGTTACTTTTTACCATAAATGGGCACGGGAAATGTGAAATCATTATGGGCAAGTTTTCAATTTTTTTCTACCATGTTTCTCAAATTATCGACCAATCGAGTCCCTCCACGTAACGAGTGGCTATAGGGTGTTTCAGCTAATTTTATTTTTAGATAACGTTTTAATTACTTATGACCTCAAGTGTGAAAAGTACTTAAAACGGAACAAAAAGCACATTCGTATAACTTCTGCTATACTGGAACTAGTGCCTGAAAAGCTGGTTGCTGACTTCGGGAATCTTATTGATGGAAATGAGCAGTTGAGCAGGGAAATTTTGAAGGCGGCGAACGACAATGCAATGGACCTTTTTACAGAAGTGGGGCCTGCTTTAGCACAAGCTATGGCCAAAGTTGAAACGGACATCGCAAATCAGGTTTTTTCCAGAGTTCCAGAGGACGAAATATTTTTACCATAAATTACTTACTTAATTAAAATAATATGTTGTGTTATAATACAAAATTTGGGCGGTACAAACTTTGCGAACAGACTGTATGTAATAAATGTGTTTGATCAATATTGCTCTCACTATAAAGCAAATCGTGGTATAATTAACCAGGTGCTCTGACTATGACGGTAAGTTGTATAATTAATTTGATTAAATTACGACAAAAAAACCAATTAAACAAGTTTGTTTTTATTCCAGTTCAGTTTAATAAAAAAAATTGTTTTAATAATAACAATAATTATTTTAAAACCCTGAGCTCAGGGACTTTCGTTTCCCCTTCTCCGCGATTGGTACTGTTGACAGTTCTCAAACATAACCAAATCTCGAATTTCGTGCACAAACGCGCCGGTTTTCAAACAAACACACCAAATGGCTGTAAGTCGTCCCCTGAACACTAAACCTCGCCACAACCCCTTTTCCCCCACATTTTTTCCTTTTACAACCTGTTAAAAAGTGATTGAATGCCGGACCTAACCTCACTTTCTTCCAGTCTGCCGCAGCTGCGAAAATCGCCGAAGTGCGCGAGACAACCCGCGTGGAGCGCATTGGGGCGCACTCCCACATCCGGGGGCTCGGGCTGGATGAGAGTCTCGAGGCGCGTCATGTGTCTCAGGGCATGGTGGGGCAGATGTCTGCCCGGAGGGCCATAGGGATTGTTCTGAAGATGGTGCGCGACGGGAGGATTGCCGGTAGGGCCGTGTTGCTGGCCGGGCAGCCGGGGACGGGGAAGACGGCCATTGCGACGGCGTTGGCGGCCGCTTTGGGGCACGATACGCCGTTTACGAGTATGGCGGGGTCCGAGATTTATTCGCTGGAGATGGGCAAGACGGAGGCTTTGACGCAGGCGATTAGGAAGAGTATCGGCGTGAGGATTAAGTGAGTTTGGTGTTGTTTTTGGTTTGATTGTTGTAAATTAGTAATTTTTTTTTGGAAGCAGGGTTGTTTAGATGGGGTTGATTGAGGTTTTATAATTTGTTTGTTTAGTGTATAATGTTTTTACGTTATATAGTTTTTCTTCTAAAAGGTGGTCGCTAATGAGTATCTTTGTATGTATGCAACCAGTAATTACAGCATTATTTACATTTTCAAATATTAAGTATTTAAAAAGATGCTAAATTTTTGTTTGATATTTTTGTTATTGGAAAAAGCTGTTTATTGTGCAAAAACAAGATGGAACTGCGTTTTTTTTATATGAAAATTAATATTGCAGTTCAAAGTTTGTAGTTGATTTTACACTAGCTTTATTTCATAAGAACAGTATTTTTAATGATGGAAATTCTAAATCTAAAAATTGTTTTCTTGTCGGGAAATGGTATGCCACTTTTTTATTTTATTTCTTAAACTTCGACCAATTTTTTCATTTGCAATCTAACAATATTAAGGAAATTGGGGATTAGGAAATATTTAAAGAGAAGAGAAATTTGGGCCAAACGTATTAATATCACTATGCAACACTAAAAAATTCACAGAAAGTTCAGATAGTGTTTGAGGTTGGGTATACTCCATATACTAAAGAAAAAAATGTTTTATAGTCATATCACATCACAAAACATAGATAACGGGTGTTTTGTTTTTCTTACTTAATGGGACACTTGATTGCATTTAATCGTAAAAATATCGCTTTTATGTATCCACCCATGTTTGCAGACTTCTGTTGGTGTCTTCAGACGGATACTGCGAGATCTGGCTACAATAGGAATGCCAATCGTTCGAAAAAAAATACCTTTTTCAATGAAAAATGAAGTATTGTTTTATTAATTTTGTATGATTTCAAAAAATTCAATAAACACTTTTCATTTTGAAACCTGATGTGATAGGTTGGGTAGCTATACTCCATATACTAAAGAAAAAAATGTTTTATCCTCATATCACATCACAAAATATAGATAACGGGTGTTTTGTTTTTCGTACTTTTTGGGACACTTGATTGCATTTAATCGTAAAAATATCGCTTTTATGTATCCACCCATGCTTGCAGACTTCTGTTGGTGTCTTCAGAGGGATACTGCGAGATCTGGCTACAATAGGAATGTCAATCGTTCGACAAAAAAGACCTTTTTCAATGAAAAATAAAGTTTTGTTTTATTAATTTTGTATGATTTCAAAAAATTCAATAAACTCTTTTCATTTTGAAACCTGATGTGATACGATTCTTTCAAGTATAATCCTCAATTGAGTTTGAGGTAAGAAATTTTAACTACATACTGTGCATTCTGTGAATTTTATTTTTTTTTAATTTGTTGCATAGTGTATTAATCAATTAATTCGTACATGTTTACTTATTGAAAGACAGGGGTAAAGAAAGCAATTTGTCCACTGGGTACAGTTGTGGTTTTCCGTTCGTTTCGTAGGGCATCATAATAGTAGCTGAAAAAGTGTCCGTTAATTGCAAACCTAACTTTTAAACTGAAATTTTCAACTCTAATTCTGCATCGTTTATTAAATGCGGTCTTAAAAAGCAGTAACTTCGATTTCAGTGGTAGACAATAGTTTGAACTCACCAAAAATTACGACGATAACAAGGAACCGTACTACGGACTGCATGTTGTTGATAAATTCAGAAACTGATGTCTTTAGACTTGGAAAGCTGGCTTTTATAGAGCTCTTATCTTTGTTTTTCGGTTAAACTAGTAATTACAACCATACATTTTTTATCAAACATTGGCATATTTCTTTACTTCAAGTATTAGTTAAAGGATGTTAACGTTATCGTACACATAACGAAGAAACTTTGTTATAGTGTTATTATTAGACAGCGGATTTCTGTCGGGCTACGTCAAGATTTTAGTGGGGACGCGCTGCATCGCCGGGACTCAGTAGCGGGTGATAGGTAATCACTGAATTTAATTGTCACTTGATTCCATAAATACAATTAACGATTTATTAATCAAACGGCTAACTAAATGAGAAGTGGAATTAACAGCAGAGTGCAACGAAGCAGCGTTATTCTAATCTCAAATAAACGAAGTGCAGCCGGTAACTGCAATGAATTCCCATCCCGTACGAGCCGTACCGAGTTTGGCCTTGTCTAGCCCGACAGAAATCCGCTCTCTAGTTATGACTTTCAACGACCATTATTTAAGGGTAGAATGTGAGTTAATTGTAGTTTTATTATCAGGATGATAAACTGCATGTATGTAATTTTGTGCAACTTAAATATTTCTAAAATTGAATGTGAATCACAATAATTATAAATGGGTATCTCAAGGGAATATGGGCAAAAAATACACTCATTTGGTTCCTTTTTATGGCATTTTCTTCATTTTTTTTGTGACTTTTAGTCGTTTTTTATGTCGACTTTCTCTTGTCGCCTTTTTTTGGCCCCTTTTTTCACTTTTTTTCCTACTTATATTTGGTCCCTTTTTTTATTACCCTTTTTCTGTCGCATTTTTGAGTTCCTTATTTATGGCCTTTTTTTCGCCCTTTTTTTGTCGTTTTTTTTTATTACCTTTTGTTTTGTTCATTTTTATGACCCCTTTCTGTGTCGCTTTATTGACCTCTTTTTTAGTGACTTTTGTCGTCGCATTTTTTCTCGCCTTTTTTTTTACAAATTTTTTTGCTTGTCACGTGTTTTGTGGAATTTTCTCGTTGCCTTTTTGTCTTTTTTTCTCTGTTTAGGGCCTTTTTCAATTTTCTCCATGCCTTTTTGATTCCTTTTTTTGACGGTTTTTTTCTCTTTTTGTCACTGTTTTGGTACCTTTTTTATTGGCTTCTTTCCTCTTTGTTTTGTCTGTTGTCGTTTTTTTTGTCAACTTCTTTGTCGCTTTTTTTGTTATTTTTTATGTCCGCCTTTTTTGTCTTTTTCTATGTTCCCTTTTTTGGGTTGTCTGTGTCTGTCCCGTGTGCCCCTTCTCTTTCTTTGCCTCTTCTCTGTTTCTTTCTCTTTCCCCTCATAACCATCTCTTTTTCCCTCCCCTACCTACATTTCTCTCTCTTTCCCTTCTCTACCTCCCTCTCTTTCTCTCCTCTTTATCTCCCTCTTTTTTACCTCCTCTCTCTTTTCTGTCTTATTGCCTCTCGTCTCTCTTTTATTGCTTCTTGTCTCTCTCTTATAGCCTCTTCTCTTTCTCTTCTCCGACTTTTCCCTCTCTCGTCTTGTTCTCTTCTTCCCCTCTTCTCCCTCTTCTCTACCCTCTATTCTCCCTCTTCTCTACCCTCTCTTCTCCCTCTCCTCTACCCTCTCTTCTCCCTCTTCTCTCCCCTTCTTCTCTCTCTCTCTCCCTCTCTTCTCTCCCTCTTCTCTACCCTCTCTTCTCCCTTTCTTCTCCCTCTTCTCTACCCTCTCTTCTCCCTCTCCTCTACCCTCTCTTCTCCCTCTTCTCTCTCTTCTCTCCCTCTCTTCTCTCCCTCTCTTCTCCATCTTCTCTCCCTCTCCTCTTCCTCTCTTCCTCTTCTTCTCACCCTCACTTTTCCTTCTTCTCTGCCTCTCTCTTCTCTTTTCTCTGCCTCTCTCTTCTCTTTTCTCTGCCTCTTTCTTCTCTTTTCTCTGCCTCTCTCTTCTCTCTTCTCTGCCTCTCTCTTCTCTCTTCTCTGCCTCTCTCTCTTCTCTCCTCTCTCCTCTCTCCTCTCTCCTCTCTCCTCTCTCCTCTCTCCTCTCTCCTCTCTCTCTCCTCTCTCCTCTCTCCTCTCTCCTCTCTCCTCTCTCCTCTCTCCTCTCTCCTCTCTCCTCTCTCCTTCGAAAATGTATTTACTTATCCCCTCCAAAAAATTGATGACGGCACCTCAAAATTTTCGTGAACAATTCCTATCTTAAATGTGCAAAGTATGATGAGTTTATACTTGTGATTTATCACTGCATTAATATTTTTTAGGTGTCTTAAAAAAAAAATGAATCAATTTTTTTTTTATTGTTTAAATCAAGAATTCCAAAACTGAATACTTTGAAATCTTGGCAGACGTCTTGAAGTTATTGTAAGCATGGCAACTTTTTAATCAAAGTGTATCTGTCAATCAACCCCAAAAAATTCATTACATTATCTCAAAATTTTGCCGAATAAATCCTATCTAAAATGTGCAAAATATGATCAGTCTAGACTTGTAATTTATCATTGCATTCATATTTTTTTAATTTGCTTATACAGGGTGTCTGAAAAATAATAAATCAGTCAATTGCAAAACTGAATGCTTTGAACTCTTGCAGAGGTTTTAAAGTCAAGGATGGTAAATTGTTAATCAAAATAAATCTGTTTATTCCCCTTAAAGATTGATGACGTTATCTCAAAATTTTGCCGAATAAATTCTACCCAAAATGTGCATAATTTGATGAGTTTTAACTTGTGATTCATATTTTTTATTGATCAAATTAAGAACGAGTCACCCCATTTTACTGAAAATGGTATTCAGAATATTTTGTCGTTTGTAGCTTACTACTTAATAGTTTTGATCTTCTGTTTTGAGGGGAAGAACTCATTCAAATCAAACTAATTTCTACGTGACATTCTTTCGATTTGTTTTTCGAGGATAACCTAAGGAGGTACAGTAATGGAGTCTATCGGGAAATCTGGTACTTTATATTTTCTCGATATTTCTAACCCCTAGGGAGGACCGTAGCTAGGGGGAGGCCATGGGATGCTGTGCTTCCCCTAGATATAGACTAGTTATAATTAACCAAATGTGAACTACAACATCAAAAATCAAAATAAAATGTATTGTTTTATTCAATAAGCGGATGTCAGAGCAATAAAGAAGTCTGGACCGTCGGCATTGTGATCTGGTTATTGCAATTCGTAGAAAACATCTTTTAGTTTAGTTTCTGTTTCACTCTCACGTCTAGAGGTTGATAAGTGTTATCGCTATTTGTCTTAAATTACGAGTACCATAAATGATTTTCAGTTCAGTTTTCAGTCGCACCTCTGTTATTACATACGGCAGACGTGATTAAATTGTGTCGTTATTTTAATGATTATTTTTATTTTTAATGATGGAAATTATAAATCTAAAAATTGTTTTCTTGTCGGAAAATGGTTATGACACTTTTTTATTTTATTTCTTAAGTTAAACTTCGATCATTTTTTTTAACATGCAATCTAATAATATTAAAGAAATTCGGGATTAGGAAATATTTCAAGGAAAGAGAAATTTGGACCAAATGTATAATTAATCAATTAATTCATACATGTTTACAGAGTGTCCACGGGAGTGAATCTGCTATCCAGCATTAGACACTGTTCCGATTATTTTTCGCAGTGAGTCTTCAACACCCTGTGGTTTTCCATTCGTTACGTCGGGTGTCATAATAGTAGCTGAAAAAAATGTCCCTTATATTTCCTTATTCGCCCATATATTGTAGACTGGCCCACGAGATACAGCGGTTTCCTTAACTACACTTCTCAACGAATAATGCAGCTGTTTATATAGATGCAAATTTATGACATTATAGCAAACTTAAATAGAGGCTGTTTCTTTGTTTGCCTGGCATGCTTCTTGTAAGGAGAACCAACTTATCTTCAGCCGTATTAATTAAAGATTCTCTTTATTCACAGAGTTGCAAAAGTCAAAATCATGAAACCACTATATCTCTTGTGCCACTATACCTATACTCCTGGGAAGCAAAAATGGCAGACCTAACTTTTAAAACTGAAATTTTCAATCCTAATTCTGCATCGTTTTTTAAATACAGTCTCAAAAAGCAGTGACTTCGATTTCAGTGGCAAACAATAGTTTAAACTCACCAAAAATTACGAGGATAGCAAGGAACCGTACCACGAACTGCATGTTGTTGATAATTTCAGAAACTGATGTCTTTAGACTTGGAAAGCTGGCTTTTATAGAGCTCTTATCTTTGTTTTTTGGTTAAACGTGTAATTACAACCATACATTTTTTACAAACATTGGCATTTTTCTTTACTTCGAGTATTATTTAAAGGATGTTAACGTTATCGTACACATAACGAAGAAACTTTATTATAGTATTATGACTTTCAACGACCATTATTTAAGAGTAGAATGTGAGTTAATTGTAGTTTCATTATCAGGATGATAAACTGCATGTATGTAATTTTGTGCAACTTAAATATTTCTAAAATTGAATATAAATCATAATCAGAATTGAAATGTTTGAATATTTCAAGGGAATACGTAAAAAAGATCTATATGTATTGTAATGTTATATATGGTTCCCAAGAATAAGTCATCAAAAAAAAAATCCTGGTCCTTTGTGTTTTCTTTTGCAAAATTTGAAAAAATCTCGAGTCATACTGGTCTCTAGTGCCTTATATTTGAAATTCTGAAAGAATTTGAAAAGACCTCGATGATTTCTGATATTTTGTTATTGAAAATGTTTCAACGAAGCTTGGGGGCTCTTTACTGCCCGAGCGTAAGTTAAGGAAGTATTGTAATCGGGTTCATCTGGCGACTGGCTGCTTTTATGTTTTCTCGATGTTTCATGACGGATAGAGTACGAAAAAATAGGTCCACCGTTTCCATCTATCTGTATCGATGTTTATTAGACAGATAATTTCCGAAACCACCAGATCGATTTTTGTCAAATTTTACATGTATGTAAACCAAAACACTAACAACGATATGACGTCATCTCTAAAATTTACAACAAAAATGTTATTTAAATGCTATATATTAAGATGTTCCTGCACTTGTGGTTTATGAATCCGTGTTGAGTTTTTTTTTCACCCTAGACTTAATGTGTCCTCTTATTTTATTTCCTCCCAAAAATTGATGACGCCATCTCAAAATTTTGCTCAATTCTATCTAAAATATGCAAAATATTATGACTTGTGGTTTATCAATACATTCACAGTTTCTAGAATTACTTATACACGGTGACTCAAATCTGAAAGACAATCTGTTTTATTGATTACGTTAAGAATGGCTCGCCTTATTTTTCCGAAAATTGGAGTGTACAGTACTGTTATTACAACAATCTGATACGTGTCCTTGCTAAAATGTTGAAACAAACCCATAGTATTCTTATCCACTTGTACTCCAACAATCATACATTTTAACTAATAGGAGTTATAAAAAAATGTACTTCATAAAATTTTCGCAGAAGCTGTATTTGTTCGCTTGTACTTCAGGGCGGGGAAAGTTCTACCTAAATAACTTTTTGACCATTTTTTTTGTCACTCCTTTGGTTCCTTTTTATGGCCTTTTCTTCGTTTTTTTTTGTAGCTTTTTGTCGTTTTTTATGTCGACTTTCTTTTCTCGCTTTTTTTCACTTTTGTGACCTCTTTTTGTGTCACTTTATTGACTTTTTTTTAGTGACTTTTGTTGTCACATTTTTTCTTGCCCTTTTTTGCAATTTTTTTTTGCTTATCATGTGTTTTGTGGAATTTTCGTTGCCGTTTTGTCTTTTTTTCTCAGTTTAGGTACTTTTTAAATTTTTTCGATGCTTTTTTGATTTCTTTTTATGGCCTTTTCTTCGTTTTTTTTTTGGTGGCTTTTTATCGTTTTTTATGTCAACTTTCTTATGTCGCTTTTTTTCTCTTTTATGACCTCTTTTTGTGTCGCTTTATTGACTTCTTTTTAGTGACTTTTGTTGTCTCATTTTTTCTCGCCTTTTTTTGCAAATTTTGTTTGTTTGTCGTGTGTTTTGTAGACTTGTCGTTGCCTTTTTGTCTTTTTTCTCTATTTAGGTCCTTTTTTAAATTTTTCGATGCCTTTTTGATTCCGTTTTTTGACGGTTTTTTTGTCACTGTTTTGGTTCCTTTTTTATTGGCTTCTTTCCTCTTTGTTTTGTTTGTTGTCGTTTTTTTTGTCAACTTTTTTGTCGCCTTTTTTGTTATTTTTTATATCCGCCTTTTTTGTCTTTTTCTATGTTTCCTTTTTTGGGTTGTCTGTGCCTGTCCCGTGTGCCCCTTCTCTTTCTTTGCCTCTTCTCTGTCTCTTTCACTTTCCCCTCATAGCCATCTCTTTTTCCCTCCCCTGCCTCCATTTCTCTCTTTCCCTTCTCTACCTCTTTATCTCTCTCTTTTTTACCTCCTCTCTCTTTTCTGTCTTATTGCCTCTCGTCTCTGTCTTATTGCTTCTCGTCTCTCTCTTATTGCCTCTCGTCTCTCTCTTATTGCCTCTCGTCTCTCTCTTATTGTCTCTCGTCTCTCTCTTACTGCCTCTGGTCTCTCTCTTATTGCCTCTCGTCCCCTCTTATTGCCTTTCGTCCCTTTCCCTCTCCTGTTGCCTCTTGTCTCTCTTATTGTCTCTCGTCTCTCTTTTTGTCTCTCGTCTCTCTTATTGTCTCTCGTCTCTCTTATTGCCTCTCGTCTCTTTTATTGCCTCTCGTCTCTCTTCTCCCTCTCTTCTACCTCTTCTCTACCCTCTCTTTTCCTTCTTCTCTCCCTCCCTTCGTTTTTTTTTCGCTCTCTTCTCTTTTCTCTCCCTCTCTTCTCTTTTCTCTCCCTCTCTTCTCTTTTCTCTCCCTCTCTTCTCTTTTCTCTCCCTCTCTTCTCTTTTCTCTCCCTCTCTTCTCTTTTCTCTCCCTCTCTTCTCTTTTCTCTCCCACTCTTCTCTTTTCTCTCCCACTCTTCTCTTTTCTCTCCCACTCTTCTCTTTTCTCTCCCTCTCTTCTCTTTCCTCTCCCTCTCTTCTCTTCTCTCTCCCTTTCTCTTCTTTTCTCTCTCCCTTTCTCTTCTCTTCTCTCTCCCTTTCTCTTCTCTTCTCTCTCCCTTTCTCTTCTCTCTCCCCCTCTCTTCTCCCTCCCCCTCTCTTCTCCCTCCCCCTCTCTTCTCTCTCTCTCTTCTCTCTCTCTCTTCTTTCTCTCTTCTCTCTCTCTCTTCTCTCTCTCTCTTCTCTCTCTCTTCTCTCTCTC